TTTTAAGGTATTTATTTGGAGTCTGTTGCTGCTGGCTTTTCCCAAGACAGCATCTGAGTACGCCTACCCCCTAAGCCTTCAGCCTGGGCCTGTGCTGTCTCTCAGATCCCCCCATACTGCCTCCCAGAGCCACCCACACCCCCTGCCTCAGCCCCCTCCAGGAAGCTTGTGAGAACCCCTAGCCTCAGACCACCGACATTCAAGCCTGCCCATTGACAATCGGCAGGTCTAATTCCTCTGGTGCAGAGTGCCTGACAGCTGATACTGGTTGATCCCTGTAGTTTGGAGAGGGTTGCCAGATTTAGCAAATAATTAATCCAGATGCCCGGTTAAGTTTGGGGTTCAGATACGTAAATATTTTTAGCATAACTGTGTCCTGGTGGTACTGGTGACATGACCTTGGGTAAAGAAGCAGAGTGGGGATCACGTTCCCATTCTACAGAGCAGGAAACTGAGACCCACGAGGGGGAAGGATGCTGTCTGTGATTACACAGCGAGACAGTGGTATTGCCGGAATTTGAAGCAGGGCGGGCTGACCTCAAAGCCCAGGCTTTGCCATGGCCGGCGCAGCCTCTGCTAAACGTAACAGTGTATCTACAGCACTTGGCAGTTTTCAAAACACTTCCAGGTGCATAATCTTAATTAGTCTTCACAGGAACCTTTGAGATCGGCTTCACAGTTCATTTGTTCAAAGACACTTTTTTTTTCCTTTTTTTAACACTTTAACCTCTCTGAGTTCATGATGTATTTTACTGTCAGCTGTGTGTTGTTGTAAGTGGCTGGGTTTTTTTTTTTTTTTCTCGGAAGAGCAGAAAATAATGGCGTCTTGGATTCCAGTCAATGAAACGTTATTATGTATTTTCTGCAGCTGAAGAAAGAGGCCCAGGGAGCTCAGGTCCCTAGAATAAGGTGGCAGACACTGTAATTAAACCTGTCTTCCTGACCTTCTCTTCCCCTCCCGTTGAAAGGAAATGACACAAACTTTGTCCCCAAGACACACAATGGAACAAGGGTGGGTTGGGGGAGGCTGCCAGATATCAGATTTCTGGAGGAGGGTGGAGCCCATGGCTCCCTTTCCCTGAGTTTTCGGTGTACATCTAGAACTTAAAGACTGGGCATTTAAACGGAGGATCTGGCAAGGGATGGCTTTCTTGCTTTTGTCTAAATCTTCCTGAGGAACGGCACCGAAGAACCTGCTGTGTAAGGCAAGCGGAAGATGCGAAGAAGTGGGAGACAGAAGCCCGCCCTGGGAAAGCCGTCCTGGTCCCGGCCCGCCAGCTGGAGGGCGCTCCCTGAGATGCGCGGGCTGCCGGCCTAGACTGGTCCTGGCCCCAGCGCTGCGTGACTCAGGGAGCCTCCTGCTCCCACTTCCCCTCCCAGCCCCGCTCTGCTGTCTAGACTGAGCTGGAGGCGATCGTTCTTGGGGCCGGGCCCACATTTCCCAGCTTGCATTCACAGAACCTCATTCCAAGTGTTGTATTCCTGGGCTCAAAACAGCTAATAGCAGGAGGGAATCTTCATTAGGGAAGAGAAACACATTCTGCAGAAAAAAGAGGAGGAGGAGGAGGAGAACAGTCCCGCACTGCCTGCAAGCAGACAGGTCTGAGATGGAATTGATTCACACTTTCAGAGCTTAAGGAGTAAGAGACATCTGCCAGAAAGATGATCACTTCAGAAGAGATGATGCGAAGGCTCGAGAATTAAGGGCATTCCACGTGGTCTTTCTTTTAAAGAAAAAGAGCTTAAAAGTGGAAGTCTGTATGGGTCTAAATTACAACACAATGACTACAGTGCACAACCGTATTGTGTACTTGAAAGCTGTGAAGAGAGGAGATGGTAAAAGTCCTCACCGCCCACAGGAAATGGTAACCATGGGACCCATGGATGTGTTGACTTCTGTGGCAGCCATTGCCTGGTGTGTGCATATACCAAGCATCATGCTGTATGCCTTAAGCTTCCATAAGGCTACCTGTCAATAATACCCCAATAAAGCTGGGGTAGGAGAAGAGCTCATTCCAGATCAGAAGCCCACCCGCAGATGGCCCCCTGTGTCGGTAACAGGCAGACGTGTTACACTTGGCCTAGGCCCTCAGTAATAAACCACATCACCTGAGCTCGCCTCAAGCTTCCTGGTCAATGTTAATGTTCTCGTTTGAGAGACAAAGGAACAAAGGCTCAAAGTCGTCAGTGACCTTGCTCAAGTCGCTCAAGTTGACAGACTGTTTACGGTAGAGTTGCCAGCGGAGCCCGGGTCTTGTGACTTCAAGGCTACGTTCTGTCTACTCCTTGCACCCATAGCTACGAGCAGGAAAAAAGAGAAAGAGATCAAGTCTTGTTGGGTGAACCTGGGGGAAAGTTAGGGAGGGTTAGGGAGAGTGAAAGGAGGGTGGCAGAGCCTGGAAGAGGCTTCAGAATTTGCCCCGTGACCTGTAGCTGCTGACCGGATGGAGTGTGTAGAGCAGGTCTGGATAAGAAAGGCAGAGGTCGGCTTCAGGAAAGACGTCTCAGGGACAGCTGGAGGCTTCATGTAAGAACTTGAAGGCTTGCTGAGACCAGGGAGGAGGTTCTGGAATAAGAGACCTTTGGTAGTAAATTAGAGGGGTAGGAGGAGGATTGTTACCAAGATTTATCCAAAAATCTTGATGCAGAAACATCAGGGTTTTCTTTTTTTGTTTATTTAATAGCATTCTACTCTCCGCAATGTAGCCAAAGTTGCCCAAAATGGCATAATGGAAAAAGAAAGATGTTTAGGATCAGACACAACTGGGCTGAGTCCAGGCTGCCCCACTTACTGATTTTTGCCTGAGACAAGTCACCCAGGCTCCCTGATGACCAGCTTCTTCACCCGTAATGCAGAGGCAGTAGAGGCTCCCAGGGTCACGCGCACACCACTGATCAGGTCACTCCGTCCTTGGGCTCCTGGATTGGGTGCTTGTTCTGTTACGGTCCCTCACACTGCAGTTTAGTCTCTTCACCTGTCTCCCCTTTTTGTCGCTTGGCTCCTTGGGATCAGTGTCTGGCAAAGAACAGACCCTCAAAGTGGAATGTTGGGGAAGAAGGATGCAGGAAAGATGGGAAAGAAAGGATTTAGCTCAGCAAACTCTAGAAACCTTTACTCCAAGGCCTTCAACCTTTTCTCCCCTTCCAACCTCCCAGCCCTGGTCACAATCCCGGCCTCCAGCCCACCTGCCCACAAAGTCTGACGGGAAAGACTTCCAGATAAACTGCAAAGTATATTTTCACAGGGAGTAGTGCGTTTGCAATCATTAAACTTGGTGGTTTTTCAGCTGACAATGGTCTTTCGCTTTCCTTGTCATCTCTCTGGAGTTGAGCAACAACCCGCTGTGATGAGAGAAGACCACGTTTTCATTGTACAGATCCAGAAACTGAGTCTCAGGCAGGCCACACAGACACTAGTGACAAAATCGGAACCGGAAGCCGAGGTGTCTGACTCCCTGTCTCTGCGCCTCCCTGTGCTTCAGAGATGATGCTAAGCTAATAAGCCCACAAATAATGATAGCAGAGTAGTGTCGCCGACACCTTGGCTGTGAGTGGGCTCCCCTGGCAAGGATGGGAGCGCTGCACGGCCCCCATTTCCTGCACACTCATCAGACAGGCTCAGAGGAGAGCGGTCTTGCAGGCCTGACTCGGAAGCTGAATCACTGCAAGCCCCGCTGTTGGATGGAAGGGAATGGCGTGGGTGGTCGTGTCCCAGACAGAAGACTCTTGGCCAGATGGAGACGCGCCTGCAAACTTGGACGGGGCTCTGGTTGTTGCCGGATCTCTGGTGCTGCTCTCTTTTGATTAAATGATAGTGGAAGAGGCAGCAGCCAGGAGGTGCCCACCACTCATGGAGTCCCTGGACCCTCAGGTGGGGACATCTCCGATTAGCAACCAGGCCAGCCGGGGAGGGAGGGGGACCGGGGGAGGCTGGGGCACTGGGAAGTACAGACACACCAGTTCTTTGTAAGGAAATGCAGGCAGTAACTACAGTGTGGCAGAGATGCTATTTATACAACACCCATCTGCTGAACATTCTGGGTGCTTCCCTCCAGACATACAACTCAAATACAGCAAGTACTTATGCTGAAGCTGAGGGCTCCCTCCCTCATGGCTGAATTGCCCACTGGCGTCTGGTCCAAAATGTTGTTACTTGAATGGAGGAATATTTGGAAGGACTCACTCTTGCCCCAGTATAATCATGATAATAATCAGGGCAGCCTCAATATTCTGTACTGTGTGCTAATCATCAGTAGGTATCACCATACGCATGTATGGGAGGAAATGGGGCTTCATCAAGGTTAAGTGACTCATCCAAGGTCAGATGGCTCTGACTGGTAGACCTGCGGCACTTCTGCCTAGGCTGGGGTCACTCAGCCAGTGGGTGACTGAGTGCAGTTGGAACCAGGTGTCTGACCTCAAAGCCCAACTGGCTCTGTTTCCCACCCTGAACCCCATGCCCTGCCCCCCTAAACTTTCCATCTACTTCCTGCTCCTCTTCTCAAGTCCCCAGGGGAAGAGAACCCCTGAGAGTGGTCCACAGAGGGAGGCAGCAAGATTGCTGCTCTCGCTGGCCCAGCACTGAAGTGTCAGATGGCTTCAGTCCTCTGGAATTTGTAAGCAAATGCTCTGCTTTTGTCTTTGGTAAATCCAAGCGCATATTTCATCTTCACAAAGCCCTACTGGGACCCTGAGCACCAGGGGCTCCTCCGCCTGTCACCTCCGCTTCATCCGCGCGCTTTCTCTGCCTGAGCACACCAGGAAGTGCCCGCGGCAGGTGCGTCCATTGCAGGACCGAGAGCCCCGGCTCCTCGATGCTCTTCCACCCCGCAGGGAGTCCTTTGGGAGCCTGGGCAGGGTCAGGAGAAGCTCTAGGAAGCCATCTGTTTGGGTTTGCCCCCAACCCTGTCTAGGATGGAAAGGAAAGAGCCAGAGACAGGATCTCAGAACTCCGCTGAGTCCATTTATAGACATGAATGAAAAGAGAAAATTATGGATCTATAAATCTAACCAAATTTGGAAAAAGTCCCAGGAAAATAAGCACTAAGTGCTTATAAATTACTTTAATCTGATGAGCAGGAAGGAGAGGAGGGACCAGCAGAGGGAGGAGGGAAAAATGCATAAAGGAAGCCAGCATTCACTAAGCATCCTGTGTGGCTTGCACCGTGCTGGGCGCTCTGAGACCAGGATGAGAGAGAGACTTTGTTTGTAGTTCAGATTCATCATTCAATGATGTGTGATTTTTGGCAGGTCATTTCCCTCTTTGGACTTCGGTTTTCCATTCCAAGGAGTGTCGGGGCAGATGATCTCCAAGTTCCTATCCAGGCCTGTGCCGTTAGAGACGAGGAGTGTTCCTTCTGCAATGACTGCGAGTTGACAGCAGCAGGATCCACACCTCATCATTTCACACGAGGGCAGCTGCAGGCTTGGAATGCGTGCTGTTCTTTCTTCTTACACAGGACCAGAATCTGGCCACCTGCCCGGGAAAGACACCATGTCATTAGAAGATCTGAGTCACCAGTAAGGATGTGGGGGAACTAAGTAGGTGAGAGGAGATCAGGTAGGAGAAGAGGGAGCAAGGAAGCCAGAGGAGACAGGACAGGTGAGGTGACAGAAGCAGAGAGCAGCCAGGATGTGCCTGTAGGACAGACCTCAGAGTCCAACTCTCTCACCCACATGGGTTTGCTTTATTTAGTGGGATCACTAAGTACAATGGGCTAAGGTAGTAAAGAGAGGTGCTCCTTGAGTTACAGTGGGGTTACCCCTGATAAACCCTTGGCACATTGAAAATGTCATAAGTCAAAAATGCACTTAGGACATCTAACCTATCGAACGCCATAGCTTAGCATAGCTTACTCAAAATGTGCTCAGAACACTTACATTAGCTTACAGCTGGGCAAAATCATCTTGCTGCTGTGGCCCAGGGTCATGGGAGAGAATCCCATTGCATAGCACTAGCCCAGGAAAAATGCAACATATGAAGTATGGCTTCTACTGAACATGTATTACTCATACTGTCGTAAAATAGAAAAAATTGTAAATCAAACCATGATATGTCAGGGGTCATCTATGCCGTCAAAGGATTTGGGGTCTAGTCCCTGATCTGTGACTGACACATAGACATGTCCCTTTCTCTCATCCTCTATATAATCAGGGATGTGCAAGGCCTTTTCCATGACCTTCTTACACAATAGTAGTGTCTTGTTCCATTACTGTGGTGCCCTGCAGAATGCCTAGGACCACTTCATATGAACAACTCACTCTGCCATGTTGGTTTTCTTACCTCTTATCTTTCTCCAAGGACCCAAGTCATTTTCAACAAATGGTGCCCCTCTTATAGATGGCTGATTTCAGTGGAATGTCCCCTCTTCCAGAGTGACAGGGTGCTACACTAAGCTTCTCTGCTCAACTACCTCACCCCACCCCACTGACTCTTCTGTAACATACCTGAGTCTTCTTGTCCACTATTTGGATAATATTCGTAGAGTGTGTTGCCAAGGAGATTCCTGGGTCAACTGGGAATTGAACTAGATGTTCTTTGAGATTTCCTTATATTTTGACATAGAAAGATATGAATCTTTTCCAGAATCAGGAAACAGATCAAGGCATGACTTCTAGGAAACCAAGATCTCTAGAATATTGAAAAATAAATATGTGGCTATGGCTTATTTTATTTTATTTATTTTTTTGTAGAACTAGGTAATGAATTTGGAAGAACACTAGTTGGGGAGTCTCAGAAAACAAGGAAGCAGGCAAAAAGGTAGACAAGGAGGAAGGAAGGAAGGAAGGAAAAAAGAAAGAGAGAAAGGAAGGGAGAAAGAAAAGGACTGAAAGAAGGAAATGAGAGAAGGAAAGAAGGAAAGTAAGGAAGAAGAGTACCATATAAAGAGGGACATAGGGGGAGTCTAAATAAAAGATGTAAAGAGGAGAAAGCAGGAAGAGAAAAGAGGAAAGAGAGAAAAAGGAAGCGAGAAGAGAAGAGAGAGAGGAAAGGAAACCAGAGACCAAAGTACTGCTGGAGGACATGTTTCCAGGCTGGGATGCTGCCCGCCCTCCACGCATAGGCACCCGTCCCCCACCAGCATGACTTCCTCTGAGAGAGAACTTCTGTGACTGCAGGACTGGCGTTCGGCACGCACTCGCTGGGGGATGCTGCAAGTGGAATGACTAGCCCTGTTTTTTCGCCAGTGCTGTGCCCAGAGTAACAGGCTGCTGGAGTGTACAGTTCAATGGATGGCTTGCTGACCTCTTGGACTGCCTGTGGGCTTGACTGTGCATTTGAGCTTCTCGGCAAAGTGGGAGAGAACGAGGGAGTGAGCACTGCAGGCGCAGGCTCCTGATCACTATAAGGAGCCTTAGCAAAGTGGTGGAATGGTAGGTACAGTAGACAGTTTGGAGAAGGGAGGTAGCAGAGCCTTGTGCAAAGTTCCTTCAGAATCACCTTTATCGATTTTATTAAAAATCATTTAATCCACTTCTTTTTTTCCTTGTTCTTCTCTACCACCAATAACTTTATTAGCTGTTTTGGTATTTAACCTATTACTTAATTTACCAATTAAAAAATTTTATTTAGTTATTTTTCAAGTACAGTTTTTTGTCTATTTTTCCCATCCCAGCCTCCCCCACCCCTTGCTCCCCTCCTCCCTCCCATTTCCACCCCCTTAGTTCTCATCCCTGTGTTCTTCCTATTTGTTCCTCTAAATCCCTCCCCCTTTTCCCCCTTAACTTCCCTTCCCTCTCCCCTCTGGTCGCTGTCCCCTTGTTCTCTATTTCAGTGTCTTTGCTTTTTTTTTTTTTTCTGCTTGCTTGTTTGTTTTGTTGTTTAGCTTCCTGTTAAAGGTGAGATCCACTTCTTTTGACATAAATGAATCCCGAGCTTTGGCATCAGGCAACCGCAAATGTAAAGCCTACTTTATTCTCTCTTGAGCACATAATTTAATCTTCCAGACTCAGTCTTCTCACCTGTTCAATGGTTGTAAATACTTGCAGAGCTTTCGAGAATTAGAGATGGGCCGATGGCTTCCTGGTGTGCTGACTGGCGCCTAGCGGATGCTCAGCCACCCCTTTGAGGATCTGAATCCATGTTTTTCTTCATATTTCCACCTGAGTAGGTGCACCAAGCCATATAAATTATGGGAAAACAATTATTTACTTTAAAAGCTAAAGAAGATCTTATGTGACCAATGTATCCGGTGACCAAAGGCGCCTCACCAAGCATGTTCATTCACTCGCTGAGAGGTGGATGGTATTTCAGCCTCATGTGTTTCCTACCAACTGTCCGGTGACTTAGCTACAGCGACAACTTGACCTGCGTTTCACATGTCACTCACTCTGGTACTTCAGGTGTTGTGCCGGCAGCCTATTCACATGCTTTTCCCACCAAGCTGAACTCCAGTAATTTGCTTTCTTAATGCACAGTTTTTTACTCTCTTTGGCACACTTTTGGTTTCCTTTCTTGAAAGTTTGAAAACTATTTTTGTGTTCTCCCATTTCCTGCCTTTTCTTACCGATTTCTCTAAAGAGATTCAGCTGTTTACACCATCTGGTCAGAATCTCAAGAATTAAAAAAGCGGTTTTAGTGATAAGAAACTTCATCTGTCCATGCTCCAGGTATGCAGGTGGAAATTGAGAGGACAGAACTCTCACACCGTGTTCCACTGTGTGAAGCTATTGTTTCACGTGGGAGGGCTTGGTGGTGGTGTTGCACAGCCACATGCACATATATAGAGAAATATATATAACACACCAGGAATGAGGAGCTCAAATCGCTAATTTTACCCCTGCCTGTATTGACAGTGAGACCTTAGAATACACATAGTCCTGGAGAGCAGATCATATTATTCCAACTTTATAGATGAGTCTACTGAGGTGCAGAGTTGTTGCTTTTGTCTCGGTATCACATTTCTACTATAAAGACCAGAAAGTATTCAGATATAGTCTTTTTGGTCTCCAAGCTGAGAGCTCGAAGTTTGGACTTCAAAGGAGGCATATTGATGTGCCTGCATAGGTTTGAGTCCCCTGGCCATGCGGCCTGCTCCTCCTGGTAGGTGCCCTGCTCCAGTAAAAGAGAAATTTGGCATATCTGGTCCATTCGTGGGCTTCATTCACTCTTAGGTACCATATGAGGTTTCATCCACGTTATTCAATCAACTTCACCTCGGGGCAGCCTTGTGCCAGGCATAGCTTAGACACTTGGGATAAAGATATGAAAGTGATAGAATTCTCTCACATTGTGAAGTTACTATAGCAATAGTTTTGGGGAGGCAGAATGGAAGCAAACCATTCAATAGACAATTTCAGATGAATAAGATGAAATTCAATAGTTTCTGAGCCTGGGAAATGAATAATCTGATTTTTGTTTTTGGAGATACCACTCTGGCTTCTGTGGGGAGCATAATTTGCAGGGACAGGAGAGAAACCAGAAAGGGTGCTTCTGGTTACTGCAGTCGAGCAGGAGGAAGAGGATGGCATCTTGGTCTGGGTGGTGGCAGTAGAAAGAGAGGTCTGCAAGGCTTCAGGGTGTGCGTCCGACAGACGGTGCATCCTGATGACTGGATGCGGTTGGTGGCTGGTCCTTCTTCCAACTATCTCAATGGATGATTTCTAAAAGTCAAATAGAATGCATAACCAGGACCTGACAGGAGCTGAAAGGTGAGAAGGATTTGCAAAGGATAATGAGAGACAAGAGACAGGGGGAGGGGGGACCAGCAGAGACCTGATAGTGAAGAACAGGGAGTGAATGGTCAACAATGTCAAATGATGCTGGTGATCCACTAAAGAAGAGGAAATTGAAAAGAATTAGCTCAATGAGTAGGAGAGACAGCAATTAGAGTATTGTGCCTGGTTCAGTGAATGTGTGTAAGAAGAGGAGTGAGAAAGGAAAGTCACACGTGACTAGGACAAGGGAGGAAGTGATGTAGGGCAATGAGAGGATAATGCAGAGCCAGGTCTCCATGCTGCACCTAACCACCCAGCAGGATGTTAGAGCAAAGTTCCTGAGGGGGTGGCGGAGACTAAGCCACAGCAGAATACTTCTGTCCCACAGAGCAGTACTTACCTTCCAAGACAGTGGGACCCCTTTCCTCTCAGGAGACTTCTCTTCTCTTTCTGAGTTCTTGGCTCCTCTTCCTCTCTCTCCACACCCTCCTTCTTCATTGTGTTTAAAGTGATTGCTCAGAGCCGGTGTTAGAAAGGAAGCCCGCTAATTAGGTAACTTTGCACTCAAGTGTTGGTGAAGAAAAGCCTTCACACATTTCTTGGGGTGTGTGCATTTTTTAAAAAGCAGCATAAGTAAACCCAACTGACATTCAAATAAGTTATGGGTTCTTCAGACAATGCGAAAGGTGCTGTAATAAGTCTGGGAGGGGTGGACTGAATTTAGAGATTTATGACCAGAGAACAGGTAGGTATCTGACTTAAAACCACTCTGGGAACATCCACTTTGTTCCACCATTCCTGAACTCAGGCTCGTTCATTTAGAATCTGCTTCTGCTCCTTGAGAGCTCTTAATTAGAAAATGTGACCATCTTTAAGACTGGAAGAATCCCACTCAATATGCATTTTATCAAGTGTTCTAAACTTTTTTTTTTGCATTCTTGGTTTGGGGGTGGTGGAGGATCCCAAAGCAATGCTGGGAGGCTGAACAAGAAAAACAGAAGGATTCAATTAGAAAGAAAGCTCCAGCATCATCCCCTGGGACCACCCTGCCTCATTCCTACAAGAGATTCCATCTTTGAAATGTCTTCTCTGCAGAACTCCCATCCCCACCCCCCTTGAAATTCCGCAGCTGTGATACAGAGGGACTTTGAAGGGCCGCAAGACAAGAGTGATTTTTCCTTCCTCCGTGGTCATACTTCACAACCAGTTCCCAAATGGTATTAATAAACATTTAAACTTCAAAAACTGAACTTGACTTTTCTACATCCTTTCCACTGGGGCTAAGTTTTTGTCTTTGTCATCACACAAATACTTCCTTATGGCACACGTGGGACTACACGGCTCACACGCCTCTGGGTTTAGAAACAGGTATGTTTGCTGTTAAGTTTCTACAGGTGCCGGGGACTATTGGAGTGGTCACTGTCATTCCACAGATAAGCATCGAGGGGTCTGAGTTTGAAGACGGGAGACTCTAAGATCAATACATAGGGTACGAGAAATAAAAGGGCAAGTATTCTTCTGCCAAAAGGGCCACATGAGATGGGACAGTGATTCAGTGGGTGCCTCCTTAAAACCTTAGCACTTTTCATTTGAATCTCAGACATACCGTGAACTGCCCGAGTGATTTTGAGCAAGTTATTTAGTCATTCTGACTTAGTTTTCACTTCTGTAAAATGAGTGTTGCGTGGGAAATCACAGATAAACAAAATCACATGTTTAAGACAAGAACTGACAAATCATAATAGAAGGATCTGTATGTCGTTAGTGCTTAAGTTTATTGTGGTTGACTAGTCGAGATCCATAAGATCATGGACTTGACTTACCTCTCTACCTGGTACTGAGGCTGTAAGTAAACAGTTCTGTACTAGTAAAGAACTCAGAATTTAAGAACACAAAGCCAGGTGAAGGAGTTTGAGGAGCTCAAGACACTTCAGTTTTCTAAAGCTGAGGGTTAATTATGACATTAACCTGACAAAGAACTTTCACTTGTCCCTGGTCACATTTGGAATAAAATCCCAGAGCATACAACCATAGTCAGAATTGGTTCCTGTTCAGCTCTGACCTGGTTTGACCCCACATCCCCTCAATATCCTGTTACTTGGGTCTCCAGATGGTCTCCAGGTTCCCTTTCTGTCCTGACTTTGCTCATTCTATTCTCTCTGCCTGTATTGACCCACCTGTTCAGGAACAGAAATTTACCCTTTCAAATTGGGCTCTGTGCTTTGTGCTGCAGTGAAGGCAACCTTGATGGGTTAAGAGCCCTTCCAAGTTCAAACTTCTTACCGCCCTTGACCCCACTTGGATGGCTACTTTAGGGTTGAGAGCTTGCTGGACTGTGGACATGTCAGTGGAGAGAAGTCAGTGGAGGTCAGCTTGACTTTAGTACTGAGTCTGGAAAATATTTGTTGAATCAGTTGGTTTTCAGCCCATAGAATAATATTTCTCATAGTGTGGTCCTCAGACCACCTGCCCCAGCATATCCTTGGGGAACCTGTTAAAATGGAAAGATTCTGAGCCCCACTCCAGCCTACAGCATCTCTGGAGTGGGACCCTGACATCTGCATTGTTAACAAACTTCACTGGTAATGATGGCCACCCCGAGGTCGAGAATCACTCACTGCCATAGCAGACAGGAGTGGGCAAAGGTTGCTGGAGGCAAACACTGGCCAGGTCCGAGGGATTGATGGATGAGTGGGGGAGTGGGCAGTAAGAATCATTTTAATATAGAGTGTTGTAATTGATAGCCATAATAGTGTCACAAAGAGTCATAATAATGACAGCACGTCATCAAGAAAAGTTTATGGCCAGTAACCTCTCTTAAGAAGGAATAGAAGTATATAAATCATTGTGGGAAGATTTCCAACCAAAAATGGAAAAGCTGACCATTTTTAAAAGCTGAAAAATAAATAAATTATTTGGAATAGTAACTCATACAAGAAATGTATGGGTGAGTTTTGTAGGGAGTAATGAATATACAGTATAGGCACAAAGTTCATGCTGGGCAGTTCCTTGTTCCCCTTGCCACTCCCACCAATTGGCCTCACCCACAGAGCCAAACGGAGGAGGAATCCAGCAGAACAACCCTCGGGTCAGTGTGTTTAGCTCACAGTAGATGGTGCTAAACCACAGAATGGAAACCACAGGGTTTTAGAGGCTGGCAGACCTGAGTTCAAGTCTCATCCCAGCTCTTACTCACCCTGGGTCCCCAGGTAGCTCTTTCTTCCCTTCTAAAATGGCAGGTGGTGTGGTAACTATGCAAGAGGTATGACAATGACATCTAAATGCCATGCATTTTACATATGTTGCTATTTTTTAAACTGTTGTTATGCCTTAGATAAAAAAATTGAGACTTGAAGACAGTAGGATTTTTTTCACTCCCCGTGACTTAAGATAACAAGTATTGGAGCTCAACTTTGTTCTTTTGGTGATGAATTGAACACTTACCAGTGCTGGGGAGGGTCTCAGGGAGTTTCAATTCTTCTTTTCCCATTGCTTACAGGATTCTAAAGAATAAAACAAAATACACGGGACATCTCAGATCTCTTTCAAGTCATGTTTTTTGGCTTCACCACAGAAGCAGCCAACATCTCTCCCAGTTTCTCTCCATCTGGAAATCTTAAACGAGTCTGTCTCAGGGCACAGGTGACTGACATTGTAGGAAGGGCCAGCTGCTGAAAGATTGACCCTGAAGGTGACTGGGATCAAAGTGGATGTGGGCTTTGTAGATCAAAGGCATTGCCTCCCCCGTGGAGTGACCCAGAGAGGCAAAGTCAGGGCAGCCGACAAGCCTGGGCTGCTGGAACATTGCGCTCCCATCCGTTCATGTTCTAATTAGGCACCCAAGTGCATCAGCAAAGGCTTCTGGGTGGTCTGAGTGGGACTCTCCAGTTGCTAAGCATGGCTCAACTCTGATGGGAGGTCCCTAGGTGTGCAGAATGGTGGTCAGGCCCAGCCAGGGGGACAAAGCCCGCACCACTCAGAGGACGCAGTCGGCTCCCAGCCCTGTGCTCATTATGGGTTTGTGGCTTATGTTGTCTTCAGGATCCTGTTTCAAAAGAGCTGGTGGTTTCAGCACTGGTAGGGTTTTTCAGTTGGTGGGAGTGTCGTCCTGTGCACCAAAAGGTTGTGGGTTCAATTCCCTGTCAGGGCACATACCTAGGTTGCAGGTCCAGTCTCCGGCTGAGGCACATATTGGAGGCAACCAATTTGTTTCTCTTTCACATTGATGTTTCTCTCTCTCTGCCTCTATCTCTCTCCCTGTCTCTCTAAAATCAATAAATATATCATACGTTCTCAGGTGAGGATTAAAAATAATGATATAAAAAGAGCTGGTGGTTTCAGAAGTCCGACTAGAAGACGAGGCGCTCAGAGTCCCCCAACTACTTTCACTCCCCAGCGCTGGGGTGCTGGCTTTGACAGAGAACCTGTCTTTTGAAGGTCTGTACCAGCAGGGCCATTGGTGAAGACCTCCCACACTGAGGTGGAGAAAAAGCTTGGTTACTGAGTGCTTTTTGCCACTCAGATCCTCACACGTTCTGTGGGGGTCCTGATAATCCCCATTTTATAGAAAATAACACTGAGGGTCAGAAAAATGGAAGGACTTTCAGCAGAACGCATCCATCACTCAGAAGTGGAGGTACTAGGGCTTAGATTGGTACTCTGATTTCCAAACCCACATTAATTATCAGGTGCTACAGTAATATGTGACAACCAACCACGAACCCTCAGTGACAACTGTCAGCATTTATTTCTTCTCATTGTTCTACAGATGAGGTGTGAAGTTCTACTGATCTGAATCAGGCTTTGCTGGTTGGGGCTGAGTTCATTCCTGGGTCCTTGGTTAGTGGCTGGGTGGCTGGGCCAGGAAAATTTTGAATGGTCTTGGCCATGCAGACCAATCCCTGCACCTCGTGGCCTCTCAGCCTCCAGCCTGCCAGCCTGGGCTTGTTCGCTGGCAATGGCGGGGGCCCGTGGGCAAGAGCATAAGTGCATGGGCCTGGGTGCCTAACTGTCCTGCTGCCCCATTGTCACTGTCAATATTTAGCTAGATATTAATAAAAGAAAGGGAAGCAAAGGGAACTAGATGTTGAGCTTAATAAACCTCAGAGCAGGAGAGTGTTTACTTCACCAGGAAGCTACAGCCTCACCCCCCAGGGATCATAGCACTGCATTGGCAAAGGGGTCATCATTCCTCCTCCCTTGTCCCCTCCAGTACCGACTGCTGGGTTAGGTGGGGGACAGGGAGGGCAGCAGAAGGAGGCAGGCGCATGCACAATTGAAGTAAAACACAGAGCAAGGGGAGGTGCTGGACACAGAGGCCTGTCAATCTAACTGGAGGTGGGCTTTCGAAAGCCCATGAAAGCTTGGGAAGCTGACTGGTTCTTTGGAAAAGGGGCCTGGTCTGTCCCCAGGCCAAGCTAAGGTAATCCCAGGGAAAGAGAAGCACTTCCTCTCTCTCTCTCTCTCTCATTCATGACCACACCCACCCCATGTATTCCTGCTTCTCTCTCACCTGGGCACACATGAACGTCTAGGGGCTCCTGGGGCCCAGAGCAGACTGCATGGGCCACAGAGAACTCAGCTTAATATGAAACAGAAACTCTGGATCTTGTTTTCTGTTTTGGCCTTGCTGAGGACATGGTTGGAACTTTTGCGTGGCAGGATGGATGGCGGTGGGACATCGAAAACCCAAGGGCACCCTTTTGCTTTTGCATCATGGGTGAGTTCTGCCACACCATAGCATCCCATGCGTGGGTGATTGGGACGCTTTCCTCGTGATCCTGTTTCCCACTTACAGCATCTTCCACCTCACCCAACTGACCAACACAGGACCGAATATCACGTTGCATCTGTGTTGAATATATTTGGTAGGATATTCTAACGTAGAAAAATAGGTCCCATCTCTAGATTGGAGGAGCTCGAAAGTCACACTTTATAAGTTGTTGTTTGGATACAGAGAGGCCATTAACTGGGGCAAGCCTTCATGCGATCATTTTACAAAACAAAAAAGCTGTTATCTCTCTACTCCAGCAGGGTGCCACTCATGTAGAACATTGCAGGGCTTTGTACATTTATTTTTAGTAAAGAAGCTAGAATTTCAATATTGCCTTTCTCTTGGCTTAAGTAACACATATGCTAAGTTGAAAGATGCCTCACAGATTAACATCAAACGGATTCTGGCTATAACGGACACCTAATAAGAAATGGAAGCAAATGTGGCGTGCAAGGCTGCACGGTCACTGTGCTTTAGGATCAGAGACCGAGACTTTTAAGTTCAAAGAAACATTGCCATGGTACCTAACTGACTTTAAGATAAATGCAGAGTCCTCTGTTGGTACTTTGGAATGGATGTTACCCATCTGGCCTCATCTTCTCTTCAATCCTATCTCCTGAGAAGTCCACTCTCCTCCCTGGCTTCCTTCCTCAGTCCTAAGTAATTCGTTTTTCCTAAACATTGACCTGCTCTCACGGTCTTCCCTTTTCCGTACAGGCGGTACCTTCTGCCAGGGCAATCTTCCTGTTTTCTTCCTTGGCTGACTCCTTCTCAAACTTTGCATCTTCAGGGGACCCTTTTGAGCACTCGCACCTCAGTTAGCACTCTACACAGGGCTGATTTTCCTTGCTTGAACCCCACGTCTTACTGTGAGTTTCCCGGGGACAGCTCCCCTCTCTGTTTTTCCAGTGTCTAGCACAGTCACAAAAGGGCAAAGTAGCTACTTTTCAAATAAATGAGCCCATGAATAAACCACCCACCTGCTTTGAACATTGTTTATTCTTTAAAGAAATGACTTTCATAAAGTGTTAAATTTCATTAGGCTTTGCATAGTTTTTGCAATTAAAATTATGCTTTCTTTAATTATTCCAGCATATTGTAGGTAAAAGGTTTTTTGGTGTTGTTTTGTCTTTTCTTTTCTTTTCTTTTTTAGCAGTCACACATGTTGGATTGGCTGGAAAGCTGGCAGATTGAATAGAAACACCTCATTTGAAAAAATGAATTTTCCAGCCCTAACATGCCTCTTCGGGTCCACAGGCACTTTCGAAGTTCCACAGAATAACCTTGTGAACTGTTCCTTCCAGCCCCAGCCTCACCCTGTTTGTCCCAACTCCTGGGTCTCTCTGAGCACTGGGGTCACTGGCCTTCCACTCCCGAACACAGCCAACACCCAAACAGGGTGTGCAGTGTAAAGAATGAGGGTGTGTGCAGACATTTCAATAAATACTCCCATCTTGGAGGGTTTACTGATGAAGTTGGGTGGAGTAAAAGATGTTAGGGATATAAGGAAGGGACACCAAATGAACAAGCCCTGAATTTTAAAATAATTCATGTAGATGCATATGTGGATTTATGCACACGTATTATTGTCTAAGTACAGTATGTATGAGGTCAGCCCAGAAGGTAGTCAGCCACGTCATATAAAAAATAAAGACATTCATTACAGAAGATACAGGTACAGGAAACATCATCCTATGTACACCCCAGACCCTTTCAAAGTGGGCACCTTGGGACCTCATGCAGTTCTCCCAGTCACCGTCAGCTGCTCTGTTATGTTTTCCTGAATCTCATTGATGGTCTGAAATCTATTCCCTTTCAAAGGTGATTTCCTTTAAATTTTTAAAAGTATATTTTATTATTTATACTATTACAGTTGTTCCATTTTTTTCTCCCCTTTATTCCCTTCTGCCCTGTACCCCCTCCCACCAGCATTCCCACCCACCTTTAGTTTATGTCCATGAGTTGTACATATAAGTTCTTCGGCTTCTCCATTTCCTATACTATTAGTTTAGGGAAAAGCAGGGCGCCAAATCTGGCCTGCAGTGGGGCTGAATCACCTGGATGATTTAATGTTTTGCCAAAAAAATGTGCATGCGACATGACGCATGAGTGCATGCATTGTTGTGAGGAAGGCGCCCATCACCAGTTGCTCAGAGCTGCGACCTTCTGAGTCATCCGAACCGCTTCTGCAGGGGAATGTTCCGGCTTAATGCAAAATTTAATGCAGATTTGTCGCTCTGCTTGCTCAGTCATTTTGAATGTGACGGCCACACTGTTCACATGCTCACTCAATGACATCTACTCCCACACGCAGAACAGCGAAGTCGTCATTGTTCATGTATGTGCATTCCACTCCAGTCCCCTTGACTGCCAGGTTACACTGATGTCACTTAAACCATTCTTGTTATATTAACAATGGCTGGACTTTTTCTGGGCAGACCTCATATATATGTATGTACACATTTTGTGTTTATCATATAAATGTATATTTGAATGTATGTATTCATCTCTCTGCTTTGCATATGTATATATGTACACATATATGCACATCTCTGTATAATGACATACATCTGAAAATGTGCATAAATGAGTACCTATGTATATATTTGATGTATATGCTATATACATATCATCACAAAGTATGCATGACTTTCATAGCTTTCTACACAGAGGTAGAGCAAGGCTCATTCATACGCATGCATATGTAATTCTCTTATGAATAATTGTATACTGATATACATATAGTATTTTATGGGAATATATTTGTGTGATGTAGCCATCTCTAATTATTCAAATGAATAATATACATAAATGTTTTTCTACACATGCACATATATAGACACGTATCAAAACAGTGTTTAATAATTTTTTTATTTCCAAGAGTGTCTGGCAAACAACTTTGCCTATGGTAGGCCCTCATGAATTCCCCTGTGATCACATCTTTTAAAACAAACTGCATTTGCAAAGGTCACACCGAGTACAGGAACAAAGGAACCTGAAGTCTCAGTGGGACCCCGGAGACCGGGGCCTGTCCTGCTCCTTGGCCACGGCCATTTCCTTCTCTTGGATGCCGTGTCTTCCTCTTTAACATGAGGAGGTTTTATGAAACGGCTCCAGGCCCTTTGTTAGCAATTACTGGCTCTGCCTTTTCATTTCTGGCAGCCCTTCCCTGGACACCCAGGCTCAGTCCTGCATGGACAATGAGAGAAGAGCTCTGAGGCGCAATTTCCTTCCCAGATTCCTGTCTGAGCTCAGTGATTTCCTGAACAACCCTGCAGAAGAGAGTGATCTGTTCAACCAAAGTTCATGAGGTTTATGAGGAAGAGACGTCTTAAAAGAATCAGCCACAGACATTCACTAACCTGCTGCTGTTGCCAAACTCTGCGCTGTGGGAGGGAGGCAGATACGCAGACAGGGGCCGGAGAAAGGGGGTCCCACTGCTGTCTGGTTCCTCGCTTGTTCCTTCCTTTAGAAACCACCTGGCTTTTCCCCGGATGTAGGATGATGGTGCTGCCCCACCTGCCCACAGAGACTTATTACAAGATTCAAATGAGATGGCTTATAAATTTTGTAAAATGCAAAGTGAGTTGGTTGAGATAATTATGGTAACTGACATCTGCTGTTCAGGTTTGTAAGATGTGGTAGCAAGGCCAAGGCAAACAGTTCTGATCAGGGACTAGAACAACGATAAATTAACGACTAAATAAATGAATAAAAGTAAGCATGACCACTCACTTGTGACCTTCTGCTGGAGGTTCTATATATTACAGAAAAACAGTGGAGCCTCCTCTAGGTAGTTCAGTTTGGTAGAGTGTTGTCCTGATACACCAAGGTTTCAGGTTTGATCCCTGGGCAGGGCACATACAAGAATCAACTGATGAGTTCATGAGTAAGTGGAACGACACACTGATGTTTCCCTTCCCTTCCCTTCCCTTCCCTTCCCTTCCCTTCCCTTCCCTTCCCTTCCCTTCCCTTCCCTTCCCTTCCCTTCCCTTCCCTTCCCTTCTCCTCTCTCTCCCCCCATGAAATCAATAAATAAAAATTAATAGAAGAAAACACTGGAACTCCATTGCTTTCCTAGATATATGTATTCTGATAGGGTAGGTAAATCTAAATACAGGGATCGTTAGAGAATTGAACTGTGGATACAGACAGTGATTAGAGGCTGTTGCTTCTCCGTCTTAGGCAGCCAGGTGATTCATCACATGGGCTGAGAGAGGATTTTTGGAAAAAGGATCTGAGAGGATGTTAGGGTCAGAGAGAGGATGTAGAAGTTGAACCACGGTTCACACAAGAACTGGGAACGACTCCAAAGGAAAAGGAATTCCAAAAGAACAGAGTTTACGCCTCTCTATCTCCTTAGAATTCCATTCCATTGTGTGAGCAATGCTTGGGAAGAGGACAGAACAGAGGCGGAAACAGAAAGGCCGTGCTTTCCCAAGTTCTTTGTCAGGCGGCTGGAACACCATGGAGTGAGAACTGGAGCCCCAGTCGGAGAGACTGACTGCGGTTCAGGACTGTGCTCGGACATTTATTAGCTGTGAGAAAATCACTGAAGAGTCGATATTTCACTTCTCATCTGCAAAATATGGTTAATGATATCCAACGTAAAAATTGTAACAAGAAGTACATGAGATAATCATCGTGAAAATGTCTAGCATAGTGTCAGCCACATATTAAATATTCCTAATGTGTTTATGGAGATGGCTGAGAAAAGCCCCCATCTTCCTAAATGTTTTCCAGGAAGATCATCCTGCCAGGAACTGTTGGACAGGCCTGTTCCTGAATAGCAAGAAACACTTGACCTTCTGCGTCCCCATCATACAGTCGAACAGGCTTGGTGAGCCTCTAATTTAAAACAAATGCAGACTGGAAATACATGTTCTAAGCTAACTCCCTTCCCGAGGGGAGAGTGGAAAGGTTCTTTCAATCCCTTTCCACCTGCCTTCAACATGGATCTCCTGGGTGGTGGTGATGGGTTAGGTGAGGCGCCAATCTGGACTCAAACAGGCAAAGGTGAAAGAGACAGTGCCCCAGCTCTCTGGGAAATCATAGTCTGGCGAGTCAAAACAGTACTAAGTAGGTGTTTCTATATGTCTGGGTGGGGGCTGTCCTGACTCATCATGTCTTTACATAAAAGAGTCCATTGTTGAGTTTCTTCTCCACCATAGGTACCTTTGCAAACACTGTCTCTACCACCATGTACTGTAATGACTGCCTGTATATTTAGGTGACAGATTGGAAACTCAGAGGTTAGATAATGCTTTCAAGTTATTAAATTAGAGAGAAAAAAGCCAGTTAAAGTTGGAAATACTTTTTAACAAGTAAAGGGTGATGGTGAATAATATTCGTGCATAATCTAGAAAAACATTATTAGAATTAATTTACCTAAGTCAACGTTTAACTGTTTTATTGGTAACCTTAAAAATCAGAATAGAACAAAACTATATTAAACTAAAACTAGGGAATAAATGGGAACCTCAATGATAACCATTTAATAACTATTACATTGTATTAAGTTTTTTTCTTTTGAAAATATCTATTCCAATGTGATACTATATTTAAATTGATTCCATATTTACTACCTCTCTTCATAAACCATAAATTCCTCAGTTATGACATCTTTATTTTGATTCTTATTTCAGGCACATTTTCTAGAAACCAGATCACAGATGTTCTGTTTTCGAAGGGCTTTTATCATGAGAAGGATTTCATTGTCATCTCTACACACAGAGCCTTTGCTGGGGATGGAGGAGCTCTGGCTCATGCAGCTGTCCTTTCAAATCTCTGTAGAATTTCACAAAACGAGTCATTTTCTACTATTGCTGAAACAATGTCTACATGGGAGGATTTTAACTTTCTTTTTTTTTTAAGTAGTCTCGACCCAGAAACTGATTTCTGGCGAGCTCCCTTATTCTAGAAGTTTACTAACTTCACTGAAATAATGCATTGATCTGTTTTCTTTGTTTCTCGCCCCCCCCACCCCCTGCAATAACATGTATATTTATTTTTACTACAATGGTAGGGTAAAATCCAATAATGGCTTCCAAAAACAAAAGCATGTATTTCCCACTATTTGTTTAGCTCACAGGTTTGTGGCTTCTCTATGGGTCAGCTGACCTCTGCTGACGCAGGCTCACCTCCCTGCCTTGGGCACGGGGTGGGTCTTCCCTCCGGAGGTCCAGCTAATGAAACCTTGATACTTGGAAGATGTATTTCTTATAAAAGAATCAAGAAGCTCAAAATAGGCATTGAAAACATGTGATACTTCTTCAGACTTTGGCTTAAAAAGGCACCTGTAGTCCATGGGCCAAAGCAAGTCCTATGGTCAAGTTCAAAGTCAATGGGATGGAGAAATACTTTCAGATACTGGGGTGGGACTGGCTTAGGTGGGGTTCAGGTCTTCCTTTATTTCAAAAATATATTTTTGTATCTTTAGACTATTTTTAAAAACTTGATCTGTGATCCCTTTCAGGTCTTGGCTAACAAGGTGTCGGATCTCCAGTGGTTCTTCTTCACATCTACCACTTAACCTCAACTGTTCTTACTTACACAGCTTTTTACTTTTTCCTCTGCCATTTTCAAGACCGAATCAAGCACAAAATAAATAATTAATAAACAAATTAAGAGTTGTAAGTATTGACAAGTAGAAGGCAAAGTTATCATTATTTTCAGATAGAGTGTCCATTTAGAAAATCAAGAAAATCAACTGAAGTTGTTTCATGGAACTTTGGTAAGTGTAAGTTTTCTGCTTACAAAATTCTTACAAATTAATAACTCTGATGTATAGGAATACTAATTACATAGCAAATATGATGAAAAAATTACCATGGTCACAACATTAAAAATATGACATAACTAGTGATTAGCTTAAATACAAATACTCACAGCCTACACAAACAACATCGTACAACCCTTCAGACTGATGCAAGCAAGATTTGAACACATTTTACTTGAATAGAAAAATATCAGTCTTGTAAAGGTGTTAGCTATTGCTAAACTAATCTTTATATTAACTTGCTGGAAATAGATTTTTAAGGGAATGAGATTTTTTTTCTCACTTCCCTTGGAAAAATAATCTTATTGAAATGCTTAACAGAGCTTTGGAAAAGTGAGAATAATGAGGATGGACTTCCCTCACTAAGTATTTAAACCTAATATAATGCCACTGTAATGAACAGACCTTGGTGTTGACACAAGAGTTGATCAACAACTCAATAAACAAAAGAGAACCCAGAAATCTGCACATGTATGTGATGGGTTGAGCCATAAAGTGGTGCTATGAATGACCAACTAGAACAACTAACTGGCCTTGGGGAGGGAGTACAGGGGATTAGAGCCTTGTCTTCGACTCGCTTGTGATATACACGCATTAAATTCAAATTTTAATTAGGTTTATCTTAAAAAATCATACTACAAATACACTAGGAGAAAATGTTAGTGAATATTTATAATCAGAGTTTGGAACGTATTTGGAAATTGCACCTCAAACCGTGAAAGCATAAAAACAAGTTTGATAGATTTGAGTATAGTAAAATGTCAAAGCTCTGAATAACAAAACACCATAGTTGAGGTTAAAGAGAAAGAAGTTGCAACATGGATGACATTATGTACAAAGGCTTTGATAAAGTGACAAGAAAGAAGAAAATTAAAATGGATAAAGGATTTCAATAGAAAATTTATAAAAGAAGAAAATACAAATGGCCACTAAACATATTAATGACATCTAATCTCATTAATATTTTATATTTATAATAAATAGTAAAATAGAACATATATACAAATATATATTATATATAAACATAATTAATAATAAGATCAGTAATAATAAAATGAAATTACATGTCAGGAATATTTTAGAAAATCAATCAGAAATTATAGCTTTCAAAATATGTATGTAATGTACCTATACTTCAGTCTTTGATAATACAATAGAAACTCTTTTAACCTCCACTTACCGGTCTTACTGGGTTAACTAGTGCCCTTGACACCCTCTGCTGGGTGCCACTCTTCTCTTTACCAGCCAAATTAATACTTACCAATTGTGCTTGGTCCTGGACCTGTTTATGCCAGCTTTGTAGAGTCTCTGGAAGGGTGAATGAATTTATAAAACCATTGACTCATACATGAAAAAGGCAGCTATAAAAGTTTATACTAGAATAAAAAATCACAACATAGAAATCCCGAAGTCTGCAGCAAGATGGCTTCACAAATGCTCCAAGGCACCTGCACTCCACAGAGAAATCGAATTGGGCAATGACAGAGAGGGAATCAAGACTGACTTTTTTGGCAAGAAGGAAAATAGAGAATGTTAACTAGTAAGTGAGAAAAAAGTTGAAAAGATCTTTGAGCAACATGTAAAGGTTGGGTCACTAAAAATTCAACAGCAAATGTATGAAGAAAGACTTATATGTTGGGAAAAACTTCATAGTTTTTATGTATTTTAAACTAGGCACAATACTTTGGTCCAATTAACCTATTCAAACATTTATAAAGAAGCAGGGTTATTTTTCAATAGAGAAATCTTGACTGGGGAAAATCTTTACATTCAAATGAAGTAGATCTAAATTGCAAATTATTGTTTACCAAAACAATGGCATAAAAAGGAAGCCAGAAAACAGAAAAAAAATCCAAAGAAAATTATTACATTCCCTTTAAAAATGCAGCTGGAACTCACAAATTGTCATTTTTTTTTTTTTTTAGCAAGTGAAATAATCCCAGCACTTTAAAAAGCACAAATCGTTTATCATTACCAGTTTATTGCTGCTCTGGAAAGCCAGCAAGGAGGGATTCCAAACTACTTAAGGAAAGCTTTTAGTTTTTGCTCCATGGATCTATAAACTGAACCACTTCCTATCTCAATTGTGTTGATCCTGAAACAGAAGATGTGAAGGCTTTTTAAAAAAGCCTTCTTTCACTAGAGTGGTTCTAGAATGTTCAGTGAAATGCTACTAGGAAAAAATATTCTAGTTATGGTTTGGAAGAAAATAGGAGTCATGAATATATTTTTAAAGAATGATTTGAAGCCAGCAGCTTCACTGGTGTTCATTATGATATACATGAGCATAGAATAAATTCTCTAATACACCTACCACTACAGCTTCAGGAAACTGTGGTGTGAGACTGAGTTTGCCGTAGAAAATCCCGAACTATGAAAAAAATTTAAAAATGTAATTTAACTGACCTCAAGCCATATGAACTTTTTTAGTCAGTGTCTACTTTTAGAATATAAGGAATATTAGTTCTAGAAGACAAGACTTTTTACGCCCTGTTCACTCTGTTATCCAGATTAGTACTTGGTTGATTGCAGGTACACAATAAATAATTGTTGAATAAACGAGTAAAGATACTGAAATACCTGATTTCTGAGGCCCTTTAGCAGTTTTATTGTATGCAAGAATTTCACTGTATACCAGAATTTCATTGTATACCAGAAAAGCATAGACTTTGGAATGGGCACTCTTGCTCTTCAATTTTTCTGCTATGTGGTCTTGGTTAGATTATTTTATCTATGGTTCTCAGCTTTCTAACGTATAAAATAAGAATTAGACCACATAGACTTGTTGATCAGATGAACAGAGATAATAAATGTAACGTACCTAACATAGAGAAAGTTCTCAGAAAGTGGAATTGATGTCAGCGGTGAAGGTGCTGGTGGAGTGGTGACATTGAACCCTCACTGGGTGCCTTTACTGAGCAGAGTACTCCTCCAGTGTCCACACAATGTTCCCATGCTCGAAAAAGGCCACCCTCTCTGGGAGGAAATTGCTCAGCCTAGAAACAGTTCTTTAGTGGGTCGCATTGCAGAAGTGCTGCTTTGGTGAGCTTAACAAAGGGGCCATTATTCTCATCCACAGACACCGCCAAGAAGGTGCTGGGTGGTCCAGAATACAGGAGACAGATAATGTCCTGACTCCATTCATCAAAAAGTTGAGCGTGCACACCAGCTGCCTGCCAGCTGGAAAATGAAGCTCCTCTTGTTTTGAGGATAATTTAATTCTTCTGGGGAGACTCTGCAGGACCCTTCACCTTGAGGGACCAATGGAATTCCAACAGTATCTTGTAACATTGTGCTGACCCAGCAATGAGACCCGAAGTAGAGTGGAATTAAACAAACCAGCCACGAAAAAAATCAGTCACCCCTTATATTGGGAAAACAAACAAACAAAAAACTAACAAACATCTCTTTTTCTTTTGTAAATTTGCTCTATTGTTTTGTACCTTATGGATACTTCAGATTCTATAGCTGGTCATACTTCTCTTTTGTCCTTGACCATGTGGAAGTCATGCCAAATTTTGGTCTTCACCTAATCCTAGTACAAGAAACTAAGGTATATATATTTTGTATGGAGTACTTCTGCAGCCTTCACTGTTTTCTACTCCAAACTTTAATGTAGTCCATGACCCATAATTATTAACTTCATCTTCTTGTTTTGGATATGTTTTTGAGACAGTCTCCTAGTCTCTGATAGATCATTCATGAGTACACATCACAAAATGCAATGAGATCATGATTTAAACCCTCAACATGTGGTAAAAACCTATAGGTGCTTCTTTTTAAATATATTTTGTCGATTATGCTATTACAGTTGTCCCATTCCCCTCCTCTTATTCCTCTCTACCCTGCACACCCCTCCCACCTGCATTCTCATCATTTTAGTTCATGTCCAAGGGTCATAAAAATAAGTTATTTGGCTTCTATATTTCCTATACTATTCTTACCCCCCCTGTCTATTTTCTACCTACCATTTATGCTCTTTATTCCTGGTCTTTTCCCCCTCTCTCCCCCTGCCCTTCTCCACTGATAACCTTCCATACGATTGCCATTTCTGTGATTCTGTTCCTGTTCTAGTTGTTTTCTTAGTTTTTGTTTCTCGTTCAGTTGTTGACAGTTGTGAGTTTGTTGTCATTTTACTGTTCATATTTTTATGTTCTTTTTCCTAGATAAGTCCCTTTAACATTTCTTATAATAAGGGCTTGGTGGTGATGAACTCCTTTAACCTGACATTATCTGGGAAGCACTTTGTCTGCCCTTCCATTCTAAATAATAGCTTTGCTGGATAGAGTAATCTTGGATGTAGGTCCTTGCCTTTCATGACTTCAAATACTTATTTCCAGCCCCTTCTTGTCTTTAAGGTTTCTTTTGGAAAATCAGCTGATAGCCTTATGGGCACTCCTTTCTAGGCAACTCTCTCCTTTCCCCATGCTTCTTTTAGCATTCTCTCCTTATCGTTCATCTTGGCTAACGTAATGATGATGTGCCTTGGTGTGTTCCTCCTTGGATCTAATTTCTTTGGGACTCTCTGATCTTCTTGGACTTCCTAAAAGTGTATTTCCTTTGCTAGATTGGGGAAGTTTTCCTTCATCATTTGTTCAAGTAAGTTTTCAATTTCTTGCTCTTCCTCTTCTTCTAGCACCCCTGTGACTCAGATGTTGGAATGTTTAAAGTTGTCCCAGAGGTTCCTAAGCCTCTCCTTATTTTTTTTGAATTCTTGTTTCTTCATTCTGTTCTGGCTGACTGTTTATTTCTTCCTTCTGGTCCAAACTGTTGATTTGAATCCATTTTCTTCTCATCACTGTTGGTTCCCTGTGCATTTTTCTTTATTTCACTTTTCATAGTTTTCACTTCTTTCTCTATTTTGTGACCATACTCAACCAATTCTGTGAACATCCTGATCACCAGTGTTTTGAACTGTGCATCTAATAGGTTGGCTATCTCTTTAGTGCTTAGTTGTATTTTTTCCAAAACTTCGATCTGTTCTTTCATTTGGGCCATTTTTTTGTTTGTTTGTTTTCTCAGCATACCTGTAATGTTCTAAGGGGCAGAGCCTTAGTTATTCACCAGGGTGGGGCAACCCATTTCACTGTGTTGTATGCCAAAAGTGGGAGAAGGGTCTGATAGTGAACAATGCTGCTTGGTCAGTTTTCTGCCAGTTTTCAGTCACTTCCCCCACTACCTACAAGCAAATTGGGCCCTTCTGGTGCTGATTCCCTGGGTGGGTGGTTTTGTATATGTTCTAGGACCCTGTGAGTTTCTCCAGTGAGCTCTCCTGTGAGGCTGGGAGTTTCTCTCACCACCTCAACCCCCACAGATGTTTTCAATCAGAGGTTTCCAGGGTTTATTTTCCCACTGGGACTCTGGGTTGTGAGGTCTCTCTTGCTCCCCAGTTGTTTCTCCTGGTTTATCTGCACACGAATGTGGGACTGCCCAGTCTGACAGCTGCTGCCTTTTCCATCCCAGTCCTCCAGCCGCCATCTTGTTGGGAGTCCTCTCTGCCCAGCTGCCCATCTGCGTCCCTCATACTGGTCTGGATGAATGTTTCTTCAACTTCTAGGTTGTCAGACATCCATATAGCTTGATTTTCTGGCAGTTCTGATCGGTTTTTTTTTGTTTAAATTTGTTATTGTCCTTCTTTTGGTGTGCAAGGGCACACAGTGTATCTACCTACACCTCCATCTTGGCTAGAAGTCCCTTTTTTTTAAAAAAAAGATTTTATGTATTTACTTTTAAAGAGAGGGTAAAGGAAGGAGAAAGAGAGTGAGAGGAACATCCATGTGTGAGAGATAAAGTGATTGTTTGCCTTTCACATCCCCCAACTGTGGACCTGGACCACAGCCCAGGCATGTGCCGTGACTGGGAATCAAACTGGCAACCTTTCAGTTTGCAGACTGGTGCTCAATCCACTGAGCCACACCAGCCAGGGTAACTTCTTTCAAACTTCAGAAAATTATATGGTTTTTATTATATCTTTTCTGTAACTTAGGTCTAGAGCTACATACTAAAAACCACAAAGCAGAAATTAAAACCTATTTGATTTTGAAACTGGTGAACAGGATCTTACTGTATATTATCTGTTAACTATCATCTAGCACACTTACTCTGATATTAAGATCTTTAATTTATGGCCCTTGCTGGTGTAGCTCAGTGGATTGAGCACGGGCCTGTGAACCAAAAGATCACGGTTCAATTCTCAGTCAGGGCACATGTCTGGGTTGCAGGCCAGTTCCCAGAAGGGGACACATGAGGAGCAACCATACATTGATATTTCTTTCTCTCCTTCCCCTCCTTTCTAAAGATAAATAAATAAAATTTTAAAAAAGATCTTTAATTTATTTAATGTTTTCTAAATTCTGATCAATGCTATCATGTTATAGAAAAATCATCACATTTTATCTTCATAACAACTGTATTAGTGGGTTCTATTCTTATTTACATATTAAGATGATAGTCCTGAGATAAAGGTATTTAGTAACTTACCAAATTCCTATAGTTGGAAATTGATAGATCCAGGATCTTTTCAAAATTGGAGTCCGAGTCTTGAACCATTGCATCAAATTTCCTCTATTTCTGCTTAAATGTCTTTGTGTTTTACTGATAGGCAAGGCACAGCATCTCTGTGCATGGTCAGGTTCCAGGTAAAAGGCAGCTCGTATTCCTGAGGGCTTATGAGCCAGCCAAGTTTAGTTTGTTGATTTGAAAAGAAAGCTTTAAGTTCTTCTACAAGAGTGTGTGCCAGCTCATACACTGAAAAACACAAAACAGTTCAGGAATTGGGTGTTGCAGTCCCCAGGGTAAAATCAAAAACTACAATAGAACATGAAGAAGCAATGTCATGGAGATAATGGAGGCTTTTTGGCGTTACTCCCGGCAAGGAGGAAATTACTCATAAGAGACAAAGGAAGAAGTGAAAAAGGCTTTCCACTCTCGGAAAGCACTAGAGCCTGAACATGATCTCAGGGGTAGGCAGCTGATGAAGATCCTTGGTTGAAATGGTAGAAGGAGGGTCTGGATAGCAGCAACCTTCAGGTTATGTTCATTAGGGTTACATTCAATTATTCTTTCAGGAGTGTGCTCCTTCCTGCTCATCATATTTTTGCTTTACTCATTAATGTAGAAAGAAAAACTCCCCACACTCCTACATGAAATAGCCATTTTAATTGGGAGAAATTCAATCTGCAGGAAACGTATCATCTGTTTTTGTTATATTGTCCATAAATTTTTTTTTATTTATCTGACCACATTTTTGCCACAGTGCAAGCAGTTGTATAAATAAACTCATAGTAGGTCATTAAAGTTTTATTATTTCCGATCCCTTCCTGTAGGACATCTTTTCTAGCCACCAACACACAGGAATGATGGTGTACTGAGTGCCATCTGGCCTATCTTTGTACATCTGTTTCTATCTCTGAGGGCTGTCTCTCTGCCTTGTGAGCATGCCTGGCCTTAGCATCATTTCCATTCTTTTATTTGACCTGTGACACTTCCCCAAACCCTGGTGCTGACCACAGGAAACTAGTCACTTAACCCCACTGTACCCCATTCTAACAGCAAGCTGCAATCATACCCAACCAGTGGTGCCTGCCATCTTCCAAAGCAGAGGAGTCCCACAGAGCCTGGAAGAGGTTTTTACCAAGCTGGGAAGAACTCTGAGGGAAACACATGGTTCTTTCCTTGGAAACCCTTTCAAATGGAATAAACTGAGATTGAGGTCATGGAATAAAGAAAACAGCGTTTGCTTGCAAAATGGCGCAGTTGGCCAGGCCATCCTGCAAGAGAACTGGGTTGATTTTGTGAGACCAAAGGCCCAGGGTGAGGTGGATCAATGTGTCAAATATTTTGAAGCAATGATCAGGCTACAGACGATGGGGCAGGCAGAAGTTGGGGGAAGAGAAGAGCCAGAGAATATTCGAGAGCAACCCAGTGGAGCTCGGTTGCTTGAGCAATTAGAAAAGGAGGATTTCTACCATACACTTCTAGTGTCGGCTAGAATGTCATGTGCCAACCAGCCTGTGTTATAAAAACATCGATTTGTCCCTTCAGCAAACTGTGCCAGTGCTTTGGACACAGGGCCACCTTCTTGTGCTCACCTTATTATGTTTCTACAGGACAGTTCATATGAACATGTTCAGTCTCTGATCTGTCTCACCCTACCTACCTGCTACAGATCAGTCAAGTGTCATGGAAAGGCCAACATAGCCATGGAAACATTCAGGATCAATAGTCAGAATAAAGCATGTGTTCAGAATGGAGGAAGCAGGGCAAAGCAAGAGGTGGGTTTGCATAGAACTCTCCCGGCCCACCATGGAGAGCTCTGTCAGGAGCTTGATGACTACCCACAGTCCCTTTCTTTTAGCATAAGAGTCACTGAGGGTCTTGTAATAAAGCAGATTCTGTCTGATAGGCCTGGGGTGAGATTTGAGATTCTTCATCGCTATCAAGTGATGTCATTCATGCTGGTCCAGGGTCCACGCTTTGAAGAGCTTGCTCACTTCCATGTCAGTCCATTGCACCAACTGAATATCTGTTTAGCTTAACTGAATTGTAACAGGACAGCCATGTTGGTGATCTGTCTTGTTAGGCATGCAGTTGTAAATGCGTAAATAGGGCTTGGAGAACAGGTTGGAAACAAGCTGAACAGATAAATGAGGCTCAATCTACAGTTCCATAAGGACAGCCCATACCACCAACAACCATCTAGCTCTGGTTGAAGGGATGTGCTTGGGTTTTTTCTGCATTTTTAGTGATCCTGTGAGTGGGTAGTCAGGCTGACTACTGCCTCTTACATATCTGTGGCTTAGATTCTATTATCCATTTGGTTTAACTGAGGAAGAAGGCATAAAGCTCAGATGTTTTAGAAAAAGTACTTTCCAGTAGTAGGACAAGGACGTATTCCATTTCTGCCTTGTCTGTTTAAACCAACAGAGTAGTCCTATGCTATTAGGTTGGTGGTCAATAAAAACTGGATCTAAGAAATCTCTTGGGGTCTTCTTAGCCCTGCCATGGAAGAGGATAGTCACAAAACCCTGCATAAGGGCCAGGAAGAAATTTCTATGAGAAGCAATGCTCACATGAGCCTCTGAAGAGTAAGTAGGAATTAGCTCTGAGATGTGAAGAGTAGAAGGAGCAGTTGCAGCTGAGAGAACAGCAGATACAGGGTCTGGCACAAATAACACTCCCCTTTTTATTACAAAATCTTTTAATACAAAATCATAAGCATGAAATTCTGTAACCTAACAATATCACACTCAAGCACACCATATGACATTTTAGGTGAAATGTTCAAATTAAAACTATAAATGACTACACCTATGTTATTACCCTACCAACCACACCCAAGCAGTGGTACTTCTGCCAGACCCTGTACACAAGGGATCTCAGTGTGGCCAGTGTAGATTATGTGTAGGGAAGGGGGCAGGGCATGACACTGAGTGGACAGAGGATAGGTTGTGATGAAACATGAGCGTTCCCAGGAAAGCATGAAGAGCCCTTTGGAATGTCCACATTTTCCAGGTAGCCCCTGGACTGGGAGGACCAATGGCGTCTCTCATCTGAGTGCCGTGAGCCCCTTTGCTGCTACTTGCTCTTGTTTTTAAATTTAAATTTATTTATTTGAATTGTTGTTCAAGTACAGTTTTCTGTCTTGACAGCCTCCCTGGCTGATCACAAGGAGAGGCTACGAGGATCCCTCCACTGCTTCCCCACCTTTGGGTGGCCTTCGGAAGGGCCAGATAGGAACAGATAACGGAGACCATTACAAACTGGTATTTCTGTCCCCGGAAAATGGGACTTGAAGATGGGAGGTTTTCAGGCTCCAGGAAACCTCATGCTTTCCTGCAACTGACATTAGACTCTGAGCAGATGTGGGAGCTGGATTCTCATATATATATGGTATATATAATATACATTATATATGATATATATACTACATGCATTCCTTAGCACATAACCCAGAGATATGTGTTTAGTGTTGTTATTCACTTTATGTCTATGTTTCTTTTTCCCTTAAGATGCCCTGAACATAATTTGAAATACCCATATTTTGCTATGTATCATGGGTGCCCACATTTTTGGCTCAAACTTTCAGGAAAAAAAATCTTTCATTTTAATTTTTTAAATTCAATTTTTTGTTTATTTATATTTAGATACTTGTTTTGGGTATTATAAAGGAATTTTAGCATCTATTTTTGAACATACAGATATTCTTATTATTGGTATATATGGTTACATTTCTAATGCATAAGCATAAATAAGAGAATTAGAAACATTTATATAGACATGGAATCAATACTATCTATGTATAATGTGCACCCTTATTTCCCCCTCAAAATTTTGGGCCAGAAATGTGCATTATACATGGCAAAATATGCTGGTCACAACATAAATAATAACCTGAAAGTAGAGAGGGTAACATAAGTAACAAGAATTTCAATGCAAGAAAATCATGGCGTCTATTTTATTTATTTGTATTCAACTGAAATTAAGACCATCTCTTGTTATTTACATTAACCCTCTCATAACAGCCATGGAGCATCTATGGGAGCAGTGTGATAAATTTTGCATGTACATTTGAAAAAATGTTATATATAACATCTGTTTTCATTCATGGGCATGGTGAATTATTTCATCATGATGTATTCTTTGTGGTATTGTTTCAGAAATCTATTACCCACAGATCACCAGAAGACCTCTCGTCCTGTCATCTTTGGGATAATGAACACTTTCCATATGTGTAAATCTGTTGGGCCGTGCCCCCTGGGGTGACAGTTACAAACTTACAAATTAAAGAAATCGTTCTTACCTTTCTAAATCAGTGACTCCTCCACTGTAGGAACACAGGATGGGTCATTTGCTTGAACTCTAACGCATCTCATCCAAGAGTCTATCAGCAGAGAGCAATTTCATCTTCCTTGCTTTTATTAAAAAGAGATTTTTAAAGTTAAGAAATCCCAAGATATGCTTGATCTTTGGAAAAATATCAAGTACAGTGATAAAAGAGTCCTGCACTAAATCCATGTTGAAACTTACATTGTAAATAAAGGTGCCAAAATTAATCTAGCATTTCATTATTTTGTGTTGTACTTTTCGAAATGTCCATACCCGATAGCCCAACTGAGGTCTAACCAGAGTTCTTGTTGGTCTATTCAAGCACATTCTTCAGAAATATATTGAAATAGACTTGGTTTTACTTATCAGATGGTTTCTCAAGAAACAGAAAAATTGTATCTAACAGCACACGATTCCACTGTCTCTAATCACCCCCCAAAGCAGATTTCTTAAACCTAAAAAAATAGGAATGACAAAAAGCAGATTTTTAAAAACCTACAAAGTCTCTATTTTGTCCAGAAACCATGATATTTTAAATAAATATAATAGCACATAACAAATGATAAATTACTGAAATTTGGCACCAATAAAAATCTTAATAATACAAAATATGCCTGAATAAAATGATCTTAAAATGGAAAGGTTACTATTTTATTAAAGAAAAACAACCTCTGATTTTATTGTTTGTTCTATTTTTAGGCACATTTAATTTCCGAGGAAGAATCCTGAATAAATGGACTAATCAGAAACAATGTTCCTGGAACACTGACAATTGTAGTCTCTTTATATTGCACCCCAAACCCACATTTCCAGTTTCTTTCTTTGCTGTGTGCTTTATCCGATTTCTCCTTCCCTCTGAAGTCTCGGGGGGCACAGAGCTGCCCTCTACCTGTCTCGAACCTGTTTATTTTAGCAGCGAGCCCTGCAGCCTGAGGGTCTCGAAAACAGATGCTGAAACCTCAGGTGTTCTTGATGAGTGATGACTTCTCTCTGGGCATTTTTCATTACCTAGAGGTCTGCGGGTGGGGCAGGAGTAAGAATAACTTCCTTCAAAACTTTTCATTGTGCCTGTCACAAAATACGTCCTTCACAGATGCTCACTCAACAGATTTGTGCAAGAGAGAGTGGAGGGTTGTGACGTCGCCCCACAGAACCGAGCATTTCTCGGGTGGCCCTGTCCAGGGGGGTTACCTTGTATCTGGAGTTCTTTCCTATTGCTTACGGCCAAAATAACCTTCACAAATAAGGGTTTAACCTGAGTATGAAAGAAAGAGGTGGGGGGAGGAGAGACAGAGAGGAAGGAAGAAGGAAGGAAGGAAGGAAGGAAGGAAGGAAGGAAGGAAGGAAGGAAGGAAGGAAGGGAGGGAGGGAGGGAGGGAGGGAGGGAGGGAGGGAGGAAGGAAGGAAGGAAGGAAGGAAGGAAGGAAGGAAGGAAGGAAGGAAGGAAGGGAGGAAGGAAAATGAGGCATGCCAGGTCTTCTTTTATTTCAAGAAAACATGAAAATAGATTCCCAATCATTATGGCTCTGGTTGCCATTACGAAGGGTTGGATACATTTCTCTCTGTTTACCCAGCAGAATGAATGGAGACAGGACTGAGTCTGTGAATGGCAGGCAGCATGGCGCCGTAGCAAAGCGGCAGGTGAGAGGCGAATCTGGTCTCCAGGACAGCGTCGTGCTGCCTTGTCAGCTGTGGGCGCTTCAGTGAGCTCTCATCTTGCTCAGCTGCCATTTCTTCTCATCAAAAGTAAGGAACTTGGACCAGCTGATTCCTAAAGCCCAGTCCAGCTGCTAAAAGCTCTAGTCCAGCAGCTGAGGCTCAGGGAGATTGTGTCTGGCCCAGACACACAGAGCTGGGTGGAAATTGCCTGAAGACGTGTGCATAGGTACAATGTTATCTTAATACCGAAGTCCTTTTGGAGAACCTTGGATAGCAAAGAGAACACATGCCCTCACAATCTCTCCCATTGTGGAGCAAGGCTGATGAGCCCCCACTTCCCAGGATGCCAGAGCAGTAAATCCCCCTAAAGACTGTGCTTGGCATCTTCTGCATTTAGGGAGGGGGTGGCTATTCTCCCAAGTCATTATACAGAAAATTGAATATTCACAGATTATCTATGGTTCCTACACTGGCTCATGTATTTTTTATTTTTTATTTAGATCCAGTGTCTGCTATAGCAATAGGAAAGTGAATGTTGGTTACAGTGAAAAAATAGAGTGAGCAAAATCATGTTCAATGAATAACAGTAAATTCCAACATCATACTTTTCAATGGCTCCATTTTATATATTTCATTTCATCTATTATTTCTATTCTACGTTATTCTATTCTTTCAATTCTAATTTTTTTACCCGCAAAATGATTTCCTATGAACACCTACCCATCTACGCCCGTTGCTCCGTCACTCAGATCCCAGACCGATGTTTCCAGTCGGCTCACTCCTGCTCCTTGCACTGCGGCACCGGAAATGAAGTCAGACTGCAGAGGAGGAACTAGCTGTGTTCCTGTGCTGGAACAATATCTGCCTGTTCTGGAAAAAGGAAAGGCAAAGCCCGCTTCACAGTCTCAGCTCCACCCCTGTGTGCTGACACCATGGGAAAATGACTTAACCGGGCTAAGACAGCACTTCTGGCTCTAACATGGGGGTGTGAACACTCAGTCAGGATTGTTCTAGGGATTAGAATCCCTGTACACCGACCGGGCACAGAAGCTCAAGTAGACCATGTTTATAATATGTGGACTCAGGACTCAGAAGTGCTGTGGACACATATTCTATATGTCTATATGCCTATATCCAATGTCTATCTGATGAATTTCAAAACACAACACAGCTATTGAGTTGAATAAATCAAAAAGAGTAATGCACCATGGGGAATTTCTTCCTCTGTTGTCGGGTAGCCCTGAGTGAGGAAGTAAATCATCTGGTCCAGGCTGTGCGTGGCTGGGTGAGGTACTGCACCTTCAGAGCCTGGTGGGCTCCCCAGGGCATGGAAAAATGTGGCACACAAGGCAAAGTTACTGGAGGAGAAGCAGGGTTTCTTCTCTGTTGGTTCTGGGAGGGCAGAAGGGACCCTGGGTGTGTGTGTGTCGCAGACCAGGGCACACAGAGCTCTCTGGAAGTATCAGTGAGAACATGAGGACCAGCAGGACCTCATGACCCCAATCCACATGGCCCCACACAAACAGGCAAGCTGGGAAAATGTCCCTTGTTTAGCATACATGAGGCAGACAAAAGAAATCCATCAACATGTCCACTTGGCCATCAGAGGCCTGGAACCCGCTGGTGAACAAACTCACAGAGCCTTAAACAGAAGTAGAATCAGAAGCATTAGCAAACTGAAGACAAATGTTTTTGTTTTAGGGTTGTTGTTTTTTTTTTGCTATTGTTGTCGTTATTTAGGGCAGACAAGTCTTACACTTCAAACCTTCCCTGGAACTACAGGGAATTACACATTCACACTCTATTTTTCCATTGCATGGAAAAAACAACAACAGAAAGTAAGTAAAATAAAATCGTTTGGTTTGTGCAGGGGTGGATAAAAGTAGGTTTACAGTTGTTCGTATGGAAAAAAAATAGAGTTGCTTACTCACAACTGTAAACCTACTTTTGCCCACCCTATGTGTTAAGAAAGGCTGCACATTCAGCCCTTACCAACTCCCTCCCCATTCCACAGCCACTGAGAAACCGTGGCTCAACCACTTATCCTCTCTGCAGACTTGGGGCAGTAACTCGGCACCTCTGAGTTCCCCCCTCTTCTATAAAAAAACAAAGTACGAATGATAACGTGAGAAAGTCTTGCAGTTAGCATGCTGCGGCTTCTCCCTGCTTCATCAGTAGTCCTGCTGGCTGTTCCTCTCCTTCAGGGGAGAGATTTATGTGTCCTTGAAGATTCAAAGCACAGAGGTACACGTGCTGTCCATGGATTTTTGTCCCTTTAAAGGTTAGGGAGGCCATTTAGATGATGTATTATGAAACCACCTCCCAAGACTGCCTTTCCATCATCTCCCCAAGTGGAACTTGCCTTTGACTCAGGACACTGGGACTCTGTCTGTGCTTAAGGGAAAACAAGAGCAACGAATGTTGTGACATCCTTGGGAAAAATGTCACTGACGTGGGCCAGCCTTTCTATTTAATAGCCCTGCTCATCTGAAGACATAAAAAAATGTTAAAAATAAGGACACGGTGTCCATAGTCAAGTCAAGCCCATTCATCTTCGAGAAGTCCTTTGGATATTAATAGTCCACTCGGAGACACAGCCGCCTTCAGGGACTTTCCCAGGGAGTCCTGTGGGCATTTAAAGTTACTCCACTTTCACCCACTGCCCTTTCAACCAGGCAGAAACCCTTCGGACAGTACTAACCTTTGGGGGTGGGGTGAGGACTGAGTGATCCCAACAGTATGCATGGTAGACGCAGGGTCAACGTGCTGGGAAACACCCTTCACGTTTGAGCTCTGATGAGCCAGGTGAGGTGTGCTGCCTGGCATGTCTCCTCTGTCATCTGTACAAAGTAGAAATAAGAGATAATTCATAAAGTTGCTGTGAGGATTAGGGATACCGACCTCAATTACCCAGAATAGTGCTTGTTGCAGTGTGGGTACTATTTTGAATCTTTTCTGTGCATACTATTACTGTTGTTCCTACTACCATAAATTCTCTTACTGGGTGCAGAACTCTTTCATTAAATGTGCCCCATCTGGGGCTCTAAGATGAATTTTGTCTTGATCTCACACTTGGGTTGTTGAGTACTGCTTGCTCCTAAACTCCCAGTCCCCATGCCTCAAGGTCAATTCTTTGTCTTAGATTGTTATGTTTTACCTGCCACAGATCTCCCTAGAAAGTGCCTTACTCAGGGCGCAGCCCAAATGGCTCCCTCAAGGTTAACGCTGTCCTTGGTGCATTAGAATCATCTAGGTGTCTGTCTTCTCCAGCGAGCTCCTAGAGGACAGGAAGCAGGTCTGATTTAGGTCTTATTCTTCAGACCTAATACATGTGAGCCATGTTTGATGTTCTCTATTCTGTTTGCTGAATTCTTGGAGATACCATGTTTGGGCTGGTTGCCATCACTTCCTCCATGATTTTGGAGCTTTCCTGTCCCTGCTCCTGCCCCCCAGCTGGTCCCCGTGCAGGGTGGATTTCCAGGAGGCAGCCCCACTCACCACCCACCCCACCTCTGTCTCCAACTTCCCTGCTGGCCATTGTCTCACAATGTGGGTTTCTTTCCAGTGGTCGGTTCGCAATTCAGGCACGTATTGCTTACGGGAACACAATGAAACTTGACCTGAAAAAGCCTGTAGTGATTACTCCAGTCATAATAATTTATATATTAAAGAACTTGGGAAGGAAGAAATTAAGGAAGGAGGGTGAACAGGACTGCCAGGAAGCAAACAAGAAGAAAGGAAGAAAGACAGGACATTCTTTCAAGAATTTACTTTATGATGAGCCCTGGGCCAGACATTTGCACAAAAACCCTGAGGGATATTATTTTTAAAATTTCTGTTTTAATATTGAGAAGACTATGACTCAGATAAGATAAATAAGTCCCCAACTCATATGTTATGGAGTAAGAGGCAGTTTAGCCATGGGAAGATGTTAAAATATTTCCAGAGTGCCATAAAGTATAAGAGGAAACTAATAAAGCAACAACAACAATCAACCAGACCAACAAAACCTGTAGTGCTAAGCTCCCAACCATTTCAGCATGTAAATTTTAGCTCCAGGAAAAGCCTCTGTGAAATTGTATAAGGGATGATATTACAGGTTATTTAGAGAACTGGTTGTAAGACCAGGTCAGAGTGATCCGCAAAGGCTGTTCCCAAGCAAGCCTCTGATTTGAGGCCATTCCCCAAAGTTCAATTCTCTTTCATTCTTTTCTTGTCTTAAGAATTCTCTGCCTCCAGGAGAGGCATGTTCCCTGAGGAAGTCATCAAGAGCTCTCTCTGCCTTTTCCTCTGCATGTATGGGCACAGGGCTTACATGTTTAAATGACAGCTGAAATCCATAGCAACGCACATTTCTCACATTTGGAGTAGAAAATAAGGACGTTGCTGCTTCAGCAGTGAACCAAATGTTATGAAGTGAGTGTAAATCAAGAGTCACTGCTATCCTTTAATTACAGAACTTGCCAAGTTTCCAGTGTTTTATGCATGTTGGTCATTATTTTTGAAGCACCACGGAATCTCTGACTGTAAACAGAATACAAAATTCGGTAGCTTCCTTGCTTCTAAATGTGCTCAGGGCATAGTGATAACTAATGATCAATAGTTACTTTGAATGGATGAGCCCCACAAATCAAGGGTCCTTGCTTCCTCATGGAATTAGCTTTGTTTGGCCAGTCTCACTAGTTCTTCTCAGACAATAATTCAGTGTAACCATATAAGTTCAAAATATATTAGCCAGAAAAACACAGTAACTTCAACTTATTTTGTCTTTCAACCTTCTGTTCTCTGAAAGATTACAGATTCTCAGATCAACATAGAATATGACAAAGACAAGGTCTGTGTGCATACTGGCCTATAAAAATTTGAATTTTGGACACTGGTATATTTCATACCTGGCTCTCTTTAAATATATCCAATTTTGCTGATATAGTGTATCTGTAGTATATAATTTACAAATAAGACAATATTAAATACTTTTTACTACAAATTCCATATAAGCAATTGCTTTTGTTGATTTTCACCAAACTCTTGTATCCGTAGACAAAATATGTTTTCAATTGACAGACATGTATATTTCCAACATAAATATTAGTTGATATTTTAATTTACCTTAACAAGTAGGATCAAAGTGAAACAACAAAGAACTATGCCTGAACTTTACTCATTTGTCAATGATGGAGCAACTGTGCTAAATTGGATAATTGTTTTCAAATGCTGAAAGAATATTTACTCATAGTACAATGTTTATTCCCCATGTTTTATCTATACACATGATACTCATTTAAGTTTAATCTGCATTAGGATTTTCTCCATAATTTTCTTAAGCCTAGGTAATCAACAATAAATCAAGACCTGTATTAGAATATTTGCCAAATTGGTGTAAACATGCACCCCATGGCTAACTTTAACCACAAATGTCACATTAACAAATGTTGAGCTGGGAAGATTCTCAATAGCATACCATTACATAGCATTTCCAATGTATAGTTATGATAGATGTAAATATCTCCAAGAACATAGATAGTGATAACATATAGTAAAATAATTAGAAAATGATGAGTTTTGAGTATTCATTACCTTTGTTTTTGGTGTAATTTAGCTTCATGTTTATATAATTTAATATTTTATATATATATATATATATATATATATATATATATATATATATATGACAATCAACTCCAAAAATTACTGAACATTTAACAATTGGCTCTTGCAAGATTGTGTATTACCTCCCATCACACTGGAGATTAGCATTTCAACATATGAATTTTCTGTGGGGGCACAGACATTCCAGTCCATAGCAATCACACTATTAAAAGACTAAAAAAGTCTTTATCT